AACTTGAGCTACATCTTACTCTTCAGTTTACATCTTATTTCGTCCTTAGAAGAGAGAATATCTAACTGTTAACGTTTTACAAGTTTCAGTGCGTGTTTGTGTCTGTGTGCGTGTTTCTGTGTTTGGCGGCGATGTGATCAAAACGGAAGACATCTGCCAGATTTTTCGAAACTCACACTTCAAAACGGTCATTTATGGTTCGAGTTACCTAGATATCCTGAAAACTTAAACTCCCTAAAATCTTTGTCTTATTGGGAACTAGATACTGGAGAATCACTAACACTGCATGAGGTGAGTGAAGATTATGTGACTCACGTAACGTATAAAAGTGATGTTTCTAGGTTCTTGGAAGGTCCTTTTATTTATTTCTGTGGGTAACTTAGAAAATATAGAAGAAAAACGAGCCAACTAGTATTCAGTTGTTCCCATCAAGCATCCTGATAGAGTAGCCCACAGATAACAGCAGGCCTGTCCTAGAGTAGCCCGTAGATTACAGCAGGTCCGTCCAAGAGTAGCCCGTAGATTACAGCAGGTCCATCCTAAAGTAGCCCGTAGATTACAGCAGGTCCGTCCAAGAGTAGCCCGTAGATTACAGCAGGTCCATCCTAAAGTAGCCCGACTCTAGGATGGACCTGCTGTAATCTATACTCTAGGATGGACCTGCTGTAATCTACGGGCTGCCCGTAGATTACAGCAGGTCCATCCTAGAGTAACCCGTAGATACCAGCATGTCCGTTCTAGTCTAACCTGCAGATAATAATAGGTCCACTCCGGGATATTATGTGAGTGTCCCAGAGAGATAATCTAACTTAGTTTTCTCGTGTTAGTGTGGAATTAAAGAGTCTGGACACTTTATTAGAAATGAACAAAACCATTATTTCACAAACAAGAACAACGGAGAACAAAGTTTGTGTACCTACTCGGTCGAGTGTAACAATTCATTCTCCACCAGAATGTCTTTAGTCTGTAAGCCAAAAATAAACACTGTGATCTCCAAAAAGACAGGCCTTTCCCGTAATAAACTAAACTAAAAAAGTGTGCTCGAATCAAGAGTGTAAACTCGCTTTTTTTGTCTAGTGAACGACGTCATCTTTGAAAACTCAGTCACAGTCAGCCAGTGAACGAATTTCCAGCACCAATCCGTGTAACCCGGATTCTTCATACAATGTTGAAACATCCTTGCGGACAAATAAGACATGATCTACTAGAGAGAGAGCAAAGAAACGAAGCAACTAGAACAAGGTATTGTTAGCGGTTCTCTTCATCACGTGCAGCCGCCATGACAAAACGGAAACTAAATAACCGAAAATTATAATGATTTCCATATTACTATAGAGGGTAGATAACGCATGATACGTAGATAACGGTTGAAAAAACTGAAAACTGGTTCGAATAATTGCTGTATTCTGTTCTAAAGAACATAGGGAAACAATGGGATTATATTCCAGCGCTAAGATCCGGGGTTCGATCCTCCCCGTAGCGGACATAGCAGATAGCCTAATGTGGCTTTGCTCTAAAAACAAAACAAACATACCCAGTTCCTCCAAGACTGACACAGAGTTATTCCACCAATGTCTTTCTTGATTGGTTTAAGACTTTAAGTAATACATCGGTGATGTGCGAAACAAAATAACCTAAAGATTCTTTCTCATTTCTTTTTATAAGACGTTGATCCAAGATGTATCCTTATTATTCTACAACAGTTCTTGAAGCAAACAACTACTATTTGTGAGTTACGAAAGTCAGGTATACTCTATTACATCTTTATTGTTATTTTCATTAACAGTATTGGTTAGCATGTGTAATTATCCAATTTTCTTATTTTTAATTTACTTCTTATTATTATACTTTCATTATAAAGATCGTTTTTATTGTTAACTTAATAGACGTGATTAGGACTAACCGAGATATCCTAAGATGGCCGAACCTCGTGACATATTACTGAGTTTATGACCGAAAATATCGTTAACAGCGAGGGTACCCGACTTGTTGAAGCAGTGGATTATAATCGTTGTAAGTAAGAACGTGAGAAAAGCGTATATGATTAGTTGACCTCTTTACCAGGTTTGTTTTTTAGCTGCGTTCGATATGAGTAGCTTGCTATAATCGAAAGTTAATTAATTAATTAACTGAAAATACATCTTACTCCAAAAAATGTAGATCCACAATGTAATCGTACTTGTAAACAATTAAATTACTATTTTAAAGTTATTGTTCAAATAGCATGTGTAAGCATCCCACATTGTAAAATAATTCGAAGTATTGGGGAAGGTTTGAGTTAAAGAAGGTCCTGAAAGCCGAAAGTCTTAAAAACGCCGCCAACCACTGAGTTACACCATTACAGTCATAGTTACTCTAGAAATGAATCGGCTTACACCACTGTAGTTACGGTTACTCTCGAAATAAAACAGCTTACACCACTGTAGTTACGGTTATTCTCGATATAAAACAGCTTACACCACTACGTTCATGGTTACTCTTGAAATAAATAAGCTTACATCACTACGGCTATGGTTACTCTTGAAATAAATGAACTTACATCACTACGGTCATGATTACTCTTGAAATAAATGAGCTTACATCACTACGGTCATGGTTACTCTTGAAATAAATGAGCTTACATCACTACGGTCATGGTTACTCTTGAAATAAATGAGCTTACATCACTACGGTCATGGTTACTCTT